ATGAAGATGAGGAAGATGATGATGAAGATGAAGATATGAAGATGAGGAAGATGATGATGAAGATGAAGATGAGGAGGAAGATGAGGAAGAGGAGGATGAAGATGATGATGAAGATGAGGAGGAGGATGAGGAAGATGAAGATGAGGAAGATGATGATGAAGATGAGGAGGAGGAAGATGAGGAAGAGGAGGATGAAGATGATGATGATGAAGATGAGGAGATGAGGAAGAGGAGGATGAAGATGATGATGAAGATGAGGAGGAGGATGAGGAAGATGAAGATGAGGAAGATGATGATGAAGATGAGGAGGAGGAAGATGAGGAAGAGGAGGATGAAGATGATGATGAAGATGAGGAGGAGGATGAGGAAGATGAAGATGAGGAAGATGATGAAGATGAGGAGGATGAGGAAGATGAGGAGGAGGACGAAGGGGATGTCGATGACGATGATGATGATGATGGTGACGACGAGGAGGAGGAGGAGGAGGGGGGTGACGATGATGATGATGAGGACGAAGGGGATGAGGAGGACGAGGGGGAGGAAGACAACGATGAGGGGGAGCAGGATGATGACAATGACGAGGAGGAGGAGGAGGGGGACGAGGAGGATGATGAGGACAATGAGGATGAGGAGGAGGAAGGTGAGGAGGAGGAAGATGAGGAGGAAGATGAGGAGGAGGAAGATGAGGAAGAGGAGGATGAAGATGATGATGATGAAGATGAGGAGGAGGATGAGGAAGATGAAGATGAGGAAGATGATGATGAAGATGAGGAGGAGGATGAGGAAGATGAAGATGAGGAAGATGATGATGAAGATGAGGAGGAGGATGAGGAAGATGAAGATGAGGAAGATGATGATGAAGATGAGGAGGAGGATGAGGAAGATGAAGATGAGGAAGATGATGATGAAGATGAGGAGGAGGATGAGGAAGATGAAGATGAGGAAGATGATGATGAAGATGAGGAGGAGGATGAGGAAGATGAAGATGAGGAAGATGATGATGAAGATGAGGAGGAGGATGAGGAAGATGAAGATGAGGAAGATGATGAGGACGATGAGGATGATGAGGATGGCGAGGATGAGGATGACGATGACGACGATGACGACGATGACGATGAGGATGATGACGACGATGAGGATGACGATGACGATGAGGATGATGACGATGATGACGATGAGGATGAGGATGACAATGAGGATGATGAGGATGAGGATGACGATGACGACGATGACGATGAGGATGATGAGGATGATGGCGATGACGATGATGACGATGACGATGAGGATGATGACGATGAGGATGATGAGGATGCCGAGGATGACGATGAGGATGACGACGATGACGATGAGGATGCCGAGGATGATGCC